CCCATTTATTTTTTTTCTTTGCTGAATTTGCCTTTGCAGCTCTTCATCAATGCCACTTTGAAGATGAATTCGACGCTCAGTTTCTTTCCAAGCAGCAAATGACTCACGATGACTGTCACTATTTTCGTGGGCATTTAACTTTTCAATTTTTTCCACTTAGAGAATCCACCCTGTGTTTTGAAAGCAGACCGACTTTCGGATGTCATACATGTTGATGAAAAAAGAAGACAACAAAAGCAGTATGCTGCTTTATGTAGAGGTGAATACACCAACAAGAAACGATTGACCTCTTATCCATTCAGAAGGCGTCATTTGAAACAAAATGCAGTCATAGAACGCCCATCTTTGGCATCAGATGGACTTTCTTTATGTTGAAATTCATGTGCTCCAACTTTAACAATCTCTGTGTGATGTACATGTGTTACAACTGCTGAGTCTGTTGTATCAAACTTCATAAATCCAATATCCCTATGTGTTAAAATATTTATTAGGTCATCCTCTTTTAGCTTAGCAACAATATTCTGTGGATTTGTTTCTGACAAAGTGAAATCCTCTTGTTTATTATTATTGTAGCTTTCAACTGGACAGAGAACAGTTCCTTCATTATTTTCTTTTTCAAATGAAATAGCATGTTCATAATCTTGCACTTTGACCTCTTTGCTGCCATCAAAAGGAACAGATGCTGGCTTACTAGTGTCATCACTTCCAGCAAGGAAAACTCTCATCAATTTGCTTGACTCCACCATCGAAGCTGCAAATTGTGCCCGTCTTTTGCGTCCCTATGCCCCACTTTCTTTTTTCGACATAATGGGCTAAAAGAATAAATTAATAAATACTGACTGCACCATTTATTTGTAACATGCAAATTGTCAGATGAAAGGAAGCATTCTACTTTCCTAAGTTCCTAACCACAAATTATATTTAAATTATACAATTATAGTTGCAACTCAGGACTACTTAGGCACATCTGGACTGGGTATCACTTTAACTGCCATTATTTAGACCACCCACACTCATGTTAATTAATGTGACACAACAGTAAGAAAATCAATGAAGATTAGTGTATATGCTGATAAATCAATCTCGTATTTTCTTTTTGTTGAACATACACTTACTTGTACTCTAGGACTTGTATTTGATCTACAGATGAATGATGGAATAGTGTAATTTACTTCTGTACGTTAATTCGGTCTCACTGTATTTCAGTGGGCGGCTTTTAAAAGTTAAAACTGCAAGCGTAATACACACAAATAACGTAACACTGTGTCATATTTA